CCCACCTGGCTCCTGTCCATCCCCCCTCCCAATTCTATCCTCCTGATGTTAGGACCTTCTTGTAGCTCTGCTCTAACACAAAGAACAGATGTGATAACCAAAAGCTCCAGCTCAGCCACGGTGGCTTAGATAGTAGGATGGCACTGTGTGATACTGAACGTATTGAAAAACCTGGGTTCAAATCTTGGATTGCCCTGAACACGAGCACACCCATGATTCCTGGCTGGCTATAAGGCTGGAGGGAGGATAGCAGCATGGCATGATTCCGTCAGGGCTATCTTGCTCTCTTCAAGAAACTTATAATAACGGGAACCAGCAGTTAGCGTAATGGCTATGTCGCTGGACTCCCACGTAGTCGACCGTGGTTCGTGTCCCGGACCCGGTGGCTTAAAACTCACGCCGGGTGCGTGTGCGTGCGCGCCCAAGATCCCGAGAGAAAAATGGAGGAGAAGGGATTGTGGCATGACCATCCCCTCTGGGGGGTGATTTCTTGCTTTCTGTCTTTCTGTCTCTCTCTGTCTGTCTGACGAGCACACATGCCCTATAGCAAAAACCTCTCAAAAAAAAAAAAAAAAGAGAGAGAAATTTATAATAAGACGAAACAAAACAAAAAACTCAAAGCTCAGAAGCAATTGAGCTGGCTGAGGCTGAGGCTCTAGGAATTATTTCCAGAGACAGCTAAACACTCATCTGGAGGGAAGAGCAGATTTCCTGTGGGGCTGCTCATCTGTGTACTGCTCCTTGGAGGGAGGGGCAGACATGTGACAAGGATGAACAGCTCCAGCCTTGGTGAGGAGTCAGGGCTGGAAGCCAGGCCTCGTGACCTGCCACAGCCTGTGTGGGCAGGACCAGTGAGGCTCACCAGGTATAAGTAGCCCTAGACTCCAGTGGCTCTGCAGGATCCTGTGGTCGAGTCTAAACCACTCATTTTTCACTAAAGCTGAAAGCAAAATTAACCACCATGAGGCTGGGGGTGTCTCTCCTGCTGGTCACGCTGGCCCTTTGCTGCTACCAGGGTGAGTATTATTTGTCATCAGCCCTGATAAGGGCCATTTTGGGAACACCAAAGAAAACTATTTGCATGATCTAGGGTCAGAACAGGCCAAAATTTAAGCCCTTTTCCTGTGTTTATGAACTTCTTTCCCTTCAACCCTACCCTCACACCCCAAAAACTCAAGGTACTTTTCATTAATTTCTCAGTACCTGGGAACATTTGTAAAATAAAAAAGAAAAAAGAAAAAAATTATTACAGGCAAATTTGGGGAACTGTTGATGGAACTTCACTCCTTGGCTGTGACCTGTGTTTCAGCTGAAGCAGGATGTAATGGGAGTTACTGGGTGTGGACCTGGGATCTGCCAATTACCAGCCCTTTGACTTAGACAAAGTCCTTAACCTCGCCAAGCCTCCTCTTATCACTGGTGCTTACTGTTACCACCAAGAGTGGCTATGAGAGTGGAGCGAGATTTTGTATGTCAGCACTTGAGCTCCAGGTATCAGCAGATGGCTAGTAATTAGAAATTCTCCTCCCCAGAGTCTCTGGTGTGAATTGAGCTCAAGGCATTTTAAGTTCAGTCTCATAAAATGTTATAACTAGAAGGGTCTTTGGAGAGATTTCAGGTGGGAATGAGCCAGTGCTCTCGGAATCTCTTAAGAAACAAGCACCTGGGCTCTGAGAATAAGCAGCGCTCAAGGTATCCACCAGTGCTCTCCATACCAGTTTTCTAGGAGTAGTTCTGGAAATCGTAGCAGAACTCCTAAAATTATTATTACCACGGTATCTGTTTTTCCATAATTAATTCTACTCATTCTTTAATAATATTTTGTATGTTTCACGCCCATCCTTGGGACTGATCTGACCTCTGTGAGTCCTTTTAACTTGTACTTTCTGAACCTCCTCTTTTCCCTGAATTGTCTGAATTTCTCTCTCCAAATTTTCCTCATAGTTTGATGTCAACTGATCAGGGGTCACATTGTGACCTGAAAGTGAACTAAGGAGGTGCAGGTTGGTTGTGAAAGACTTGGGGGAATGGGGAATCTGGACCAGAATAAGTGATTGGAATCCAGGTCATAACAAAATTGCCAGCAGTGGCAATTTTAAGCAAAATGAGCCAAAACGAGCCCTGGTTCCCCCCTTTGGACATTTCTAGGGATGATGAACATTACTGCAGAATAAGATCCCATCCCAATTTCCCACAGACACAAAAGCTCCTAGTTTTGGTTAAAACTAATTTGTCTTTTTTCTGTACTTTTGAGCTCTATCTGCTTCCATGCATAGCCCCAGTTTCTCCAATTTGGATTCAAAATATAGTCTTTCAACTTTTTTCTTAAACCATTTTATTTGCTCTTCTCCAAATTTACTCTCACTTTTCTGATTTCTGGTAAGATTCTGACACTACAATTCACATTGAAATTAAAATACCTAAACTTCCTCTTTATCAGTATCTGTGTCGAATAAAATGTTACTCTGTTATCTATTAATAGGTAATTATTTCAAATCCAAGAAAAGAAAATTTCAATACATCAGAATTTTAGAAAGTAGAGCTGTGAGCTTTAGCAAAAAGCAGAAACTGAATGAGTGTCAAGAACAGTTTTCCAGACCTAGCTCTGCCCTTGGCTTTGTGATCTGGCAGAAGTCTCGACCTTGAGAGTCTTACATAGTCATTAGCACAAATATGCAATGGGAACATAAAACCTTGTGGTACTGACTAGTCAAACATCAGGGAGCCATGGGGGAAATGACTTTTGTTACCTAAATTGTATTTTTACTTTTATGTTGCAGCCAATGCAATAGTCTGTCCAGCCGTTGTTATTGATACAGAAAACTTCTTAATCATGCCTATGGAGATGTTTAAGAACGCAATTAAAGTATTTCATGCACCACCAGATGCTGTTCAGGCAAAGTTGCAAGTGAAGGAATGCATTGATCAGATGCCCAGAGAAGACATACATAAAATTGAAGCTATACTGGTAATTTCTCTCTCCTTTAGGCATAGAAACTTCTGGTCAGCCCCCCAGCCAGGGGTGAGGTCATTTGGCTATTCCATGGGGTCTCACATAAGGCTCCTGCCTTTCTGCTCACCTTTCATTGGGTAACTCAGACCACAGGGTGAAAGATACCAGAACACCTGCTAACTCACCTGCTCACAGCTTGCTGGGCGTGTTCCTCCTCTCTGGTCACCTCTTCTGGGTACCATGTTTCTCAGTGTCCTTCATGGAAGGATAGCTGGAGCCCCATGCAGGGAGGTTGGAGGACCAAGCCCTGCTGCTTTTTGTTACCTGGGAGTTTTGCTGAGAGTGAGGTCCACTCATTCAGTGGACATAAGCTCTGAGAGATCTCATGGGAGTCTTGGGGCTGTTGAACAGGGAGACAGAGGGAGAAGACTGGAGCTGGCTTCTGTCAGGTGCAGCCCTGTTGGCTGGGAGGTCTCTGGCAGCCACTACAGAGCCAGGAGCTCACTACCAGCTCCTTCTGCCTCATGTTACCTTCCTGTCGTATGACTTCGTTACCATCGCCAAAGCGTAGAGCCCTGTGCTGATTTATCTCCTACAGTCCATGGGGTCCTGGAATACCTACATTCTGTCTTTGTCAGGAAACCACATGTTTAAAGGGGCCTCTTGGCTTGTCTCTTTCTTGGTTTAAGTCCTGAAATTTAGTTGCAGATGTCCAGAGAAGCTATAATTTCATTGTTTAAAAGGACCCAGCTCAGAGGCAGAATTCCCACTGGGGTTTGGGTGTTTCCTGAAAGTTGAGTCTCATAGTCCCACCCCAGTCCTATCCCACGTCTTTTCGTCCTGAATATCCCATTGGGGTAATTGTCCTCGAACCTCGTAGAATGTAACTCCTGACTGCTCTGTCCCACTTGTCACCCTCTCCATTAGAAATCTGAGCCACACTTTTGGGTCACTTCAAGATTTGTTTTCCTGACTTTGGAAAGGCTGTTCCCTATCATTCATGGCATGATTATGCTTGAGCTTTGACCTCTCACACACACACTCACCAGATTTCTGCCTCTGCCCTCCCAGGGGCTGCTGTTGGCAGAATTTCCATTGATCTCTTGGTTGTGTTAATATGTCTCTCCAGGAGCACCATGACTGACACCAATTTTCTTTTATTTTTTATTACAGATGAAAATGCTTCCTAAGTGTCTCTAGTTACAAAAGATAATATATTCTGTTTCCACTGTCCTCCAATGATACCTGATTTTCAATGCAAACTGCAAAGGTTTCAACGTCTTGCTTTAATAAACTACTTGCCCTGCACTTCTCCATGTGTCTTGTTTGCATATAAGTGTCAGTGCTCGAGTTAAGGGCAGTTTGAATACTAAAGTGCATTTCGATATTGTCACAGTAACTTCCAGAGACTAAGTAGCCTCTGTTACTGGTGGCCAAAGTATCTGGGATCCCCAAAAGTTATGTATTTAGGAGACCCCCAGACTCACTGGCTGGCTTGTCGTGTGGTTCACACCCCACAGCAGCACTAGTGTGATGTCCTCATTGAACCACAGTCAACCTGCTTGGTCCCAGATCTCCTTTATACTGACTCCCATGTCATGTCCAGGACACTTTATTTTCCATCTAATTCTCAATTCTTAGTGCACCTCCAGGATCCAATTTTTGATTAACTCTTGCTCTTCTCCTCACACTCAGAGGGCTCATCAATGTCCCCACCACCCCCCAACCTTAGTCTAATGCTTGTCTCTCAGTCTCTTCCAAGAGCTCCAAATAAGCATTGAGTCACCAACTGGACCCCTCCATACAAGCACTCCACAGTCAGATCACAAGGAAAATGTACGAGGGAACACATCTTCTCCCAAATACCACTGAACTCTTACATCACCATTTTTATAAGCAGGTAATGCACACCACACAATCCCTACCATCTTCCACAGTTGAAATTCAGCAGTGAATCTGTTCTCTTGAAACTGAGACATCTTTGAATTATCCAGTTTCAGTGACAGAACTGCAGATTGCTACATGAGCATCAGGCAAATGGAGCTGCAAAGATATCATGGGTCACCTATGCCCGCACACCTCTGATTGCTCAGAATTAACTCCAAAAAATTAGGAAGAAATGTATAATCCATCAGATGACCAAAAACCACTGCAGAGGCACAAGAAATATGAGAAACCTAATGTAGAAGATGAATTTTTCACCACCCAAAGATGATACAAAGGAACTCATGGAACTGTCCGGTACACAATTCACAATATTCATAGTGACAAAACTACCTGAGATATATGAGAAAAGCGACAATGAATTCCAGAAGATGCAAGAGAGAAGAGTCCCAGAGGACAAGGAAGTCCTTCCATGATTTGAAATAAGAAATAGACACAATAAAACATAATCAAATGGAGTTGTTATCAATGAAGGCAGTAATACAGGAAATAAAAATCTCCCTCAAAGTATTAAAAGCAGATTAGATCATGAAGAAGATTGAATCTCGGAAACATAAGACAAACTCTCTGACCTAGAAAAAATTACCAAAAACACTGAGAAAATAACCAAAAAAAGAGAATATAATATATGGGAAATACTAGATATCAATAATTACACAAAAATCCAGACAATCAGTATCCCTAAGGGTGAATAAACTACAAAGGACATTGATAATCTATTCCATGAAATCCTGGAAGAAACTTTCCAAACCTAGAGAGGCATTCAAATATCCACATCTAAGAAATACAAAGGACTCCAAATAGAATCAACCCTAGATCTCCACAGAACGTCCTAGCCAGATTGATCAAAACCACAAATACAAGATGCTAAAGTTGGCAAGAAAGAAACACCAAGCTACTTAAAGATGATTGCATCAGGTTAACATCAGACTTCTCACCAGAAACAATGTAAACAAGGAAAGAACAGGAAAATATATTCAAATTTATACATGAAAAACAATTTCAACCAAGATGATTATACCTAGCAAGATTATCCTTCAAATGGGAAGAAAAGACAAAAACATTCTTGGACAAACAAAACCTGAATGAATTTACCAACTCCAACCAGATCTTAAAGAAGTTCTGAATAGAGTGCTATATCAAGAAAACTGAAGACAGACAGACAGAAAGAAGTGAACAAAGACAACTAAGAAAATTACCAACTTAACACTAGGAACAAGTCCAGAAGTATCAATAATATAATTGAATGTTAATGGTTTAAATTCTCTAATCAAGGGACACAGACTGGCTAAATGTATTTAAAAATAGATATCCTCTATCTATTGCCTACAAGAAACCCACTTCATGGATAAAGACATACATGGAATAAAAGTAAATGGCTAGAACAAGTTATTTTCATGCAAAGAAAAACATAAAAAGAATGGAAGTCATGATATTGACTTCAGACAAAATAGGCTTTAAGACAAAAACAGTGAGAAGAAACAAAGAGGGGCATTATATAGTGTAGGGACACATTTGGAGAGGAAACCTGAGGTATGGGGAAATGCTCTGAGCAAGCACCACCTGTCCCTTTGGGCTTTGGCAGAATCTTGTAACTTGTCCTTCCCTTGACCCTCGCTGCAGACAGAGTGAAGGGTGGAAATTGCTAGGGGCATTCCAACAGACACATCTGATGGAGTTCAGGAAACAACATCCTGATACCAATTAGCAAAGTCCAATCCCTGCTCTGCATCTGAAAGATTCTTTAGCTTGCTCCGGGCCTGGTGGTACCGCCTTATGGAGAGATTCTTTAGCCTCATGTAACTTCCCCACATCTGCAGCTGGGTTTCTCTTCATTAGAAGAGAAAATAGTGGGATTTTCTCTTAATGGGGTTATCACCAAGGGATACACCTGGTCCAGCATGTCTAAGCTCTTACAGATTTGTTACCTGCTTCTTATTGTCTGTAACCTGGCAAAGAATCTATTAAGTGTCATGAAATATACATGTGTAGTGTCTCGTACTATAAATAAAGACGCCTAGTTTGTCTGTGAGGCACAAGTTGCTTGGGATACCTAGGCTCAGGCTGCCTGTGTCTGCTGTTACTGTCTCTTTGTCTCATTCTTTCTGATTCCCCAGTTCTCTAGAGATGAAGGGCTTCCTCTTTCTCTTCCTCTTTCTCTTCCTCCTCATCACCCCCCTAATCATGATTAAGGGCAAGCCAAACCCTCAGGCAGATGCTGACAATATAGTAGTAAAAGGGGTAATACTTCAAGAAGATATAATGCTTATAAATATCTAGGTCAGCTAGGACAGAATCCATCCAGGCATCTCCATGTCTACCTGTGGTGTCCCTTCTGGGTGCAGCCTCACAGCTGTGAAACCCCACCAGCCAGGGCCCCTCACCCCCCCTTCTAGGCTCCACTGCTAGTCAGGAGAGAATCCATCCAGCCATCTTTATCTCTGCCTTTGGTGTCCCTTCTGGGTTCAGTGTCAGGGCTGTGAAGCTCCCCCAGTCAGGCCCCCCCGCCACCAGACCCCAGTGCTACTCAGGTAGGCAAAACCTATCTCTCCTTCTTGTTCTTCTCTGTCCCTTCTAACTTATTTTCTCTTCTTAAAAAAAAAAAAAAAAGCTTCCTGTCCCCTTCCTTGTATCTTTCTCTTGCTAAATTGTCTCTTTTTTCATCACCTAGGACAGAATCCATCCAGGCATCTCCATCTCTGCCTGTTTTGTTCTTTAACGTAGCATGCAAGCATGCCATGTGGTTTTCCATTTTTAACCCAATTTTAGTTTCTGCAACTTGATTTCTATTTTTTACTCATCTTTTTATTCTAGTTCTTACCTTCTTTTTCCATTGCTTTTTCTTCCATTTTCTGTTTATTACTTTATTTTTCTTTTACCTTACTCTCTTATTTTACTGTTCAGCCCATAATCTCCACCTAGAGAAGTCTAGGGACATATTAGCTAAATATTTGAACATTGTGAGTTTTAGAGAATTCTTTGCCCCTCACTGTAATAGTAGTAAAAAGAGTGAAACTCTCCTTCATAAATACAATTTTAAAAATCCTCCTGTGATTTTAACACTGGAGGACACAGTTGAAGGGAGAAAATAGCACTGAATTATTTCACAGCAAGGGAAACACAAGAACACACAGTTACAGAATCCTTCTTCAACAAATTAGCCAAAAGTGAGTACATTACCAAAACGAGAAGACTGGAGCTGGCTTCGGTCAGGTGCAGCCCTGTTGGCTGGGAGGTCTCTGGCAGCCTCTACAGAGCCAGGAGCTCACTACCAGCTCCTTCTGCCTCATGTTACCTTCCTGTCGTATGACTTCGTTACCATCGCCAAAGCGTAGAGCCCTGTGCTGATTTATCTCCTACAGTCCATGGGGTCCTGGAATACCTACATTCTGTCTTTGTCAGGAAACCACATGTTTAAAGGGGCCTCTTGGCTTGTCTCTTTCTTGGTTTAAGTCCTGAAATTTAGTTGCAGATGTCCAGAGAAGCTATAATTTCATTGTTTAAAAGGACCCAGCTCAGAGGCAGAATTCCCACTGGGGTTTGGGTGTTTCCTGAAAGTTGAGTCTCATAGTCCCACCCCAGTCCTATCCCACGTCTTTTCGTCCTGAATATCCCATTGGGGTAATTGTCCTCGAACCTCGTAGAATGTAACTCCTGACTGCTCTGTCCCACTTGTCACCCTCTCCATTAGAAATCTGAGCCACACTTTTGGGTCACTTCAAGATTTGTTTTCCTGACTTTGGAAAGGCTGTTCCCTATCATTCATGGCATGATTATGCTTGAGCTTTGACCTCTCACACACACACTCACCAGATTTCTGCCTCTGCCCTCCCAGGGGCTGCTGTTGGCAGAATTTCCATTGATCTCTTGGTTGTGTTAATATGTCTCTCCAGGAGCACCATGACTGACACCAATTTTCTTTTATTTTTTATTACAGATGAAAATGCTTCCTAAGTGTCTCTAGTTACAAAAGATAATATATTCTGTTTCCACTGTCCTCCAATGATACCTGATTTTCAATGCAAACTGCAAAGGTTTCAACGTCTTGCTTTAATAAACTACTTGCCCTGCACTTCTCCATGTGTCTTGTTTGCATATAAGTGTCAGTGCTCGAGTTAAGGGCAGTTTGAATACTAAAGTGCATTTCGATATTGTCACAGTAACTTCCAGAGACTAAGTAGCCTCTGTTACTGGTGGCCAAAGTATCTGGGATCCCCAAAAGTTATGTATTTAGGAGACCCCCAGACTCACTGGCTGGCTTGTCGTGTGGTTCACACCCCACAGCAGCACTAGTGTGATGTCCTCATTGAACCACAGTCAACCTGCTTGGTCCCAGATCTCCTTTATACTGACTCCC